GGGGGGGTTTCCAATCCATCTTCCCCACGCTCTAGCACCAGCTGAAAAAAACCCAAATGGAACTCCCTCCACAACCTTCTCCCCCTCCCTTTCTGAAGACAGTGTTGGTAGCAGGGTTTCCTGCTCCTGATGCATGCGGACACAAGTTAATGAAGGTGTTCTGCTTTGAAGCACCTATGTCTGAACCCTCGTGTAATGAGGATTCAGATTGTTTCAGGATTGGGCCCTTTTAAAGTGCTTTGCAGCCATGCCCTTCTGTAAGGGCACAGCTGTAGAGCACTTTGTCGCGTGATGGGCCCCTTGAAATATAACTTCTGTCTGTGGCTTGAGTTGTTCGTATACAGTGTAAGGGGAGTCAAGCCTTTTGTGTTTCAGACAAATCAGGTTCTTTCTTAGCACACATTCTTCCATGTTACTTTCTCAACACACAATTGCCCTCACATGTTTTATGTCATAAGAGATGAAAGAAACAGAATTAACATTATTGAAAGAATATAGAACAATATCTCTAAAATGGCAATGCTGCCAAATTCTGTTTGCTATTTTTAACGAGCTCATAACTGATTATAGAATTATTTTATACACTCATAGGACTGGAAGAGGCCTTGGATCCTCTAATCCATATCTCTGCACATATGCAGGATTCCTAATCTACTCCAGATCGATTCCTATCCAGCCTCTCCTTGAAAATCTCTGTCATAGAGATTTCATGACTTCTGTACACACATTATTTCATTGTCCTGTTTTTACAGTTAGGAAGTTCTTCCATACAGCAGACAATTCTCACTTCATTAAAAAGCAAAATAAGAGTGGTTGAAGTTTGTAATGCATTTGGCCTGTTGTGAAAAATATTTTTTCCTTCCAGATTGGACCCTCCAGAAAACCTCATTACAAATGGCATCCTAGTGGTAATATTTACATTTTTGATTGATATCTTGTCTCCTCTCATTCTTTCTGAAATACGTTGTAAAAAAAATTGTACTTTTGCCTAGAAGGAATGTTTTGCAGTGATGGCGTCCTGGGGGTTAAACTTCAAAGACATGAAGAGAAATATCTTGCTTATACAACATTTCAGTGGAGTAATGGCAGGTCTCACCCCTATCTCTTGGACAGAAGAGTTTCTATCAAAACTCATTGTGTCTGGCTTTATCCATTTATATTTTACTACTTATATTTTTAATTATATGTCAGACTTTTTATCATGATGCTTTCCAGTCATATCAATGATTTTGCTATCAATATATCATTAATTTGCCTAGGAGACAGCAGACAGTTTGAGCAGCTACCAGAACATTTTACATGTGATAAAATGAGATAATTTTAAAGAAGAGTGTATTATTAGCTGTCCTAAGTTGTTCTAAATATGGAATGCAGTTAGATTCAAGATACTAATTGCCAAGGGGTTGGTTCCATTTCAATAGGTAACATTCTCAGTAACTTGCATCCCTTTTTAAAAATTGTTTGTCACAGAGCCGTCCACTTTCCTGTTTAGAAGTTTCTGTGACCAAGGAAAGGAGTCCAAAGTGTTTAGAAGGTGTGTACCTCTTCAGACCAATGTGAAAATGATATTACGCTTCACCAGAGAAAGGCTCCCTAGTTTTTAAGGATTGTTTTTATATAGTAATTATGGTACCAATGATGTGTATGTGTGTGCATGTGTAGGGAAGAGAGAGAGAGAGAGAGAGCTTTCTCACTGCTTTTCCATATTAACACTACTGTCTCTGTCCCCTTTTGAAATAGCATCAAACCTACCTTTGAGCAGGAAATTAAATGTTTGCTCTCCAGATTGACGAAGGTTTTCATTTTTAAGTAATGCAGATCTATTGCAGAGATACAGTGGTATCTGAATTCATACCTTGAATTTTTACTTGTTTAAATTACCATTACTTGTAATCACTTTCATGACATTTCATACTTTGACATACTATGGGAAAAAACCCCCAGTCTTTTTAACTTGCACAAGCTCTCTTTTCATTTGTGAAAAATTCACAGAGCCCTCTGGAGGAACTTTTCTGTGTACGAAGATGGAAAAAATACGTGAGATAGTTGGGCTTTGGGAGATATGTCAGTCATAGTTTCATAGTGCCAAAGGCCAGTGAGGACTTGTAGGGGCATAGATACTTAGCTTATAGACTGATGGTGAATTTTTTCTTTACCTTCCTCCATCATTTTGGCTCTTATCACTGTTATCATAGACTCATAGAAAATGAGGGTGGAAGAGACCTCAGGGTATCATCTAGTCCAACCCCCTGCTGAAAGCAGGACCGTCCCCAACTATATCATCCCAACCAAGGCTTTGTCTAGCCAGGTCTTAAAAACTTCCAAGGATGGAGAGGCCACCACCTCTCTGGGTAACCTGTTCTAGTGCTTTACTAACCTCCTAGTGAGAGAGTTTTTCCTAATATCTAACCTCAACTTCCCTTGCTGCAACTTGAGACTGTTGCTCCTTGTTCTGTCATCTGCCACCACTGAGAACATTCTCCATGTTTGTTTGACTTATATCTGCAGGAGAAGATAAGCTTGAGCTTAGAGTGAAAGGGTCACATGAAGAAACACAGAAAACTGTACTGGACTCTGGCTTAGTGGAATCTTTCTTCTTCCACTACCCTGCATACTGGGAACCAGAACTGAATGCCCATCTGCAGGTAACACATTTACTACTTAAAAATTCCTCCTGTGATTTACCACTAGCCTGTAAAGAGACAGAGGCATTCTATAAAATTCTTGGTGACAAAAAGGTACAAGAGTCAAACAGCTGTAGTCTTTTACCCCAGATACGTTTGGTGGAAGCTTACCTAAATTAATTTACTCTCAATTTTTGTAGTTTTTGTTTATAAATAATTATATATGTTTTAATTGGTAGTGTTGGAGAAATGCTGTAGCTGTGATGGTCCAGGAAACAGGCTGGAGGCCAGGATTTTTTTGGGTGCTATTTTTTAGTGGACCAGTTGCATGGCTGGGCTACATGTGGACAACTTTTCTAATCCAGTTCATTCTTCATCAGGTTGTGTGCAATAAAGAAGAATTCACTGCATTGTACATTTTCTTTATTATTTAGTACTTTATAATAAAATTTGTTTTATTTCAATAGTAATAATAATAGAACACAATTTTATTAAGGACCTTCAGATCCATTAGCAGAAGGATGTCATATGTAAATTCAAGATGATTTCATTTCCAGTGCATTTTGCTTATGGTCATAATGCATGACATTTTTCAGCACTGGTCAAGCGATGATGGGGGGGATGGAAATAACTCCAGTGCATCCTTGACTATGCCTCTGGAATTACTTCGTATGGGACAGGAAGTGAAAGCAATTCTTCCTATAGTACATGTAAGTGCTTCACCTTTTTAACTGACTACTCCTTGTAGGTTGTTGCCTGTTACAATTCTTTAGTACACACATGGTAATTTGGAAATAGCTGTGTCACATATAAAGGAGGATAAGAGATTATTGAAGGTATCCTGATAAATCTTTATGGACAATACAGTGTCTAGGGTGGTTTAGTTGGGAATGATCCTGAATGATCCTTTAATAGGGAGTTGGACTAGACCAGGGGTGTCAAAAACATCACCTGTGGGCTGGATTTAACTTGCAGAGCTACTCCATCTGGCCCTTGTTGGGCCAGGATCTTTGGGGTCATGCCTAGTGGTGGACATGGCCTGATGCAGAATCCATAACACACCTTACCCTGGGGGCCCAGCAGATGTCACTGCTGGCAGCAGAAGGACAAGTGAAGGCTGTGTGATATAGCCCTCAGTTGCCCTGTGGCCACCTGGCCTCACCCCGTTTGCATACCTCCACCATGGTAAGCCGCATCTTAGTCCATAGCTGCTTGTCCCACTGCGCCACCCCACCATCCTTATTAAACTGTAAGATCTTTGTTAAAAACAATTAAGTTACCTGAACTTGACTATGTGAACTTTTCCAAACCAGTAACAAGTGAGGTAAGTGTTAGTGAGGCAGGCTCCAGCATATCTCATTAACTATTCTCTTGAGAGATTTTCCATTTTTACTGTCAGCTCTCTTCTTTTTCCAACATATTAAAAGAAATGTATGCATCAGAGCATCTAACTTGAACTTGACCACAAAGTCTTTGCTCCATCTACAATAATGTTAAAATCTACCATTGGCATATGTGATTGGTTCAAATGTATAGTGGGATGTTTGTTCATGGGCAAAGCATGGTGGGGAAAGATAAGAATTTATAATATGATATTATTATGCATTAATATATTCTATATATTCACAGCACTTTTTAACTACTTGTTTTCCCAGTGCTGTACCATCTTGATAAGCTGGAATTGTTTAGTTCAGTGGTTGGCAACTTACAGTCTTTGGGCTGGATCTGGCTGGTGAAGGTTCAATGCAGCACAGGGGCTCTGTGGTACAGAGCTGTGCCATGCCACATAGTCCCTTTGCAGCCCCCACTGCTGCTCTGCAGCATTAGCACTTCCTTTTCTATAGAGGGGTCAGGTATCTGCAGTGAGGGTGAATACAGGCAGCTGACTGCTCTGCAGAGCATAAACTTCTGGCCCACAGCCACAGCCAGGTGGCAAGCTCTGGCCTGTGTAGGCAAAAGGATGACAACCCCAGGTTTAGATCCTCAATGTCAAAGCTTCCACCCTGACGCACAAGGGCTGGGGAAAGGAAGTCGGGAAGGCAAAAAGCCAGCAGCAACATAACTGGCCAGGACTTTGCCCTGGCCAATCCTTCCTTCCTCTGTACCTTCTTTTCAGGGTGCAAGGTCTGGTAGTGAGCAACACACAGGGGCAAAGGCTGCGGTTTGCTACTGTCGCTGAGGGGAGATGTCTCCTTAATTTTTGCCGCAGACACCCATGTCAAGCAGCCAAAAAAATGCTTGTTTCCAGAGACAAAAAAATGGAGTGACCTCCCCCCAGCAGCTGCAAACTCCACTGATGCTCCAGAGTAACATTTCCCAGAATGCCTTGCACTTACTGTCATGTGCTTCTGTGCCACTGCCTCTGTTTTCCTGTCAGAGCGGAAGCTGGAAGGTTTCAGGAGAAGAGGGAGCAGGGGACAGGAGGGTGAGGGGGCCTGCCTCCCTATAGACAGTGCCTAGGTTCATGCCTACCCATCCTTATGGTCCAGAAAGGTAGAGTCAGAAATGACAATTATAGCTTTATTGAGGTTTAAGCACTCTGACCCATGTTCCAAAAAGGAAGTGCTTTAAGCTGTTTTGTCTGGCAGCGCTACCAAAGTTTGCTAATGATAGTGTATGAAAAATTAAATTTGGATACTGAGGCATGTGTCTACACTGCTTCTGTCCCATTCTTGAGGCTACTACTGAAGAGCACAGCCTTGCCCATCCAGTCTCACTCTCACTGCGCAAACCCAGAAACAAGGTGGTGTAGATGCTTTGGACTTGGTGTCTGTCTCTGCTCTCAAAATCTTCATGTCCAGTTTGTTTGGGAGTGGTTGTGGGGACATCTACGGTGAGTAGCTTCACTACCACATTATTAGGTTAGATACATACAAGTAGGAAGAAGTATGTGGCAGCTATGCGAGTGCTGGAGATGGGGACATTAGGGGTGTGCAAAGCGGGCCCTATTCGATTCAGATTCGGCCTGAATCGGGGACAGTGATTTGATTCATTGATTCGGATCACTGTCCCTGATTTGATTTAGCTGAATCCGAATTTGAAGATTTGATGCTGATTCAGAGAATTAGTGATTCAGACATAGACACAGCTTTAAAAGTTTTTTCTACATACCTGGAGGTACCAGGTGCAGCTCATGATCACTGCGATGCCACAGGAGCATCCCACAGGAGTGTGGGGGCGGGCCCTCCATGTGCTCGGCAGCAAACCCAGAAGTACTTCCGGTTTACTTCCGGGTCTGTCGGGGAGTGCACTGGGGGGCCTCCCCACACCTCCCCCTGGCTTGGCAAGTGGCTACAGGGGGACCCCGGGTGCCCCCCCCCAGACATAGGAGGCACCAGTCACCAAGCAGGGGGAGCACCGGGGTCCCCCGGTGGTATTTATAGTTGGTATTTGGTATTTATAGCTGAATATGTCTTTCTTTGGATACTGTGGTAGATTAAGAGAGATCTTCTTACAGCTGTTTCATATGCTTTTCGGTTCCTAGCAGATCAATATAGGGAGCATGTGCTAGAGCAAAAATTATACACCGGTAAGGTATGATGGCCCTTGACTCTGTGATGTAAACACCAGAAGCCCAGGAAAAGGAAAAATACATAACCTATTTTGTAGAACTCAACTAATAACCAGCACCAAGCATTCTGTTTAATGAATTTAGCTTCCATAATCTGCCTGAGCTGAATGCCATTTTAAAAATCTTATTTAAAGACATTTATTTAGGAGTTCAAGAACATGGATTGTTAGCAACTCCCTCAAAATAGTCAAAACTTTAATATTACAATTTTGAACTGTCATGCAGTGGTGACTAGTTACAAATCAAATGGTGATATTTCAGTTCTCATTAGGGATATATAAGTGCTTGTAATACACATGTGCATTTAAAATGTGTGTGCTTATTGTCATCCATGTGACTTTGGAGATCATTCTTTGTGAGTGTTCGCATCACTGTAACTTGATTATGCAAATATTTATAAAAAGTAGTAACTATACCAGCAAATTGTAGTGAATATTTGCATGCTTTTTTGTAGTATTTGTCAGGAGCACAGTTGGAATTTAGAAGACTCATCCATCAGAGTTAATCTATAAGTATAAATTGTAATTCAGCTAAATTCTCCATTCGTAGGAAGCAAGTTTGGAGCTGCAACTCAAGACATGGGACTGGTAAGACACATTTCTTAATGGTGTTCTTTAAGGAGGCAGCAGACTATTGCTCACTGGCCTTTTACATCTATCTTGAAAGAAGGTGTGCTCCTGTTGCGGGAGGGAGCGCGGTCTCATGACTAGAACTTGGATTCTGGTTCCATTTCTGAATTACTTCATGACGTTGGACAGATCACTTAGGTCAGCTCTCCTGGAAACTTATTATGCCTGATAGTGACACTGCCAAGCTTGTCACACTATGTTGTGCAATCTGCCTTCTGAACCAGAAGCAGCATGGGATATGGCAGTGTCACTCAGCAGTACTAATTAGCCCGCCTGCATTGCAGAGATGGTAAATCTCTGATCTGCATGTCTCTTGTTTTTCCTGTCTATTAGATGAGAATGATAGTAACCTGAGAATTACCTTTGTAAAGCTCCTTCAGGTACACAGATGTATAGAAGCAAAGTATTAGCAATATCATCATCACTTCCTATAGTCATTTGTGTGTCTTGCCTAGAGAGAATTCAGCAATACTTTAACTTGTATAGCAAGATGTTTTAATTATTTATCATTTGTACATTTCCTTTCAGGTTTAGAAGTTTGCCATCTTTGTGTTTAGGCACGTATGTGATTCATCTAATAGCAGCGCCAGGTTCAGTGTTACGTAAAAGTGGTAAGCGTTTGCCACTCTTAATAGAGTGGCACTGTCCATGTCCTGTCACTCCAAGGACAGGAAATTTGTTGAAACATGTTTGAGAAGTCTGTGGAAGAGGACCATTATAGGGGAAGGCAAAACCCTACACAATCCATGTTGATCTGGCCATGGGGTAAAATTTCTTCCTGATCACAAGTGTGGTTTTTGGTCTGACTCTGATTAGAGAAGCAAGCCCCATCTAGCCAGGATCCTCCAGGGTAAAGTCCCAGCAGAAGCACTGACATACCCCAGTCAAAATCCCCAACCTTGGCTGTAGATAACATCCAGTGCTTCTGACTAAGGCAAATCTCTCCCACCCCTGCCCCTCCAACACCACAGCAACTGGAGGGGAAAAAATTCCTTTCCCACCCAGCCCCAGCAACCAGCAAAGAACAGAAGCATGGGAAACCAACCCCCTCCATTCTGCATTGCCATCTGGGGCCTGCAAATAGAACTCCACACATCACATACCCTAACTGCAGATCCAGAATTCTTCTTTTTGTCACCCTATGCCAGTGATTCTCAGTGATGGCACCAAACTCAGTGATGAAATTCTTTCAGTGTACCAAGCAATATTCTTAAAGCTAAGTATGCAAACACCTACACATGATTGACAAGATAAACCCAGGGATTTCCAATAGGAATCTATAGCATCAAAAACATTCTGACCTGCAGTGCTTTCTGAGTTCTTTCCATCAGCAGAGTTCTATTATACTCTCTCCATAGTCAAGAAATGAGTGAAAGTTGAGAACTGGCATTTTCTGAGGGCTGCCTTGGGTTTAAAAAGTTGAGAACCATGGTCTTTTCCCCTCAACATATGTCCCAGTTCCTTAATCTTGTTTTATAACCAAGCCAGTTATGGGTCTCTGCTTCATATGCCTGCAGCTGAGAATGGTCCCCTCCCAGCCTCGAGGGGCATGCACCGTTTATGCTCTGCAGCAAAGGTATTCTCCATCTTCTTTATGGCAGCCCTTCAAATATTTGAGGACTGCAGTCATGCTTCACCCCTTAATCATTTTTTCTGCAAGCTGAACTTGCCTATTTCAACCCTTCTTTGGATGGCTTGCCTCCCAAGCCTTTTATCATTTTGGTTGCCTACTTTGGACCCTTCCTAACTTCTCCACATCCTTTTAAAATGTAGAGCCTAGAGCTGCATACAATATGCTAGTTGAGGCGTAACGAGTGCTCAGGAGAGTGGCACTATCACCTCCCATTCTCAACAGTCTCAAAATTATTGTTGATGCAGCCGAGAACCACTTTTTTTGTAGCTGTATCCCATTTCTGGCTCATATTGAATCTGTGATCTATCAAGACCCCAAATTCTTTCTTTGCAGTACTGCCACCTAGCTGGTTATCATCCATTTTATCTTTGTGCTTTTGCTTATTCTTCCCTAGGCGTGTAGCACCTTGCATTTGTCAGCATTGAACTTCCTGTTGTTTCTAGCCCAGCTTTTCCAACATATCAAGTTCCTTCTGAATTCCACTTCTTTCTTCCAAAGCATTTATAATCTTTCACAGTTTTGAGTTGTCTGCAGATTTTCTCTGAAACTATCCCTGCTGGGTATTGTGTTGGTGTCTGTTCATAGATGGGTCTCTGTTTGTGTCAGCCAGGAAAACCTAGACATGCGCTTGGGATTTGACCTGTGCTCACAGGAGAAAGATTTCCTGCAGAAGAGGAAGAAGGTAGTTGCTGCTGCCTTGAAAGAGATTCTTCATTTAGAAGAGAACCTCCAAGACCATGAGGTATGTTTGGCAAAATCCTAAGGTTGAAGCTGACAGAAAAGGAAGATTCATGGAATTTAAGGGTGGAAGGGACCATAAACACATCTATTGTAGCCTAATATTTCTGTATATAAGAGAGCCTTAAATTTCACCCAGTTACTCGCACCAATAACTTGCATTTGACTAAAATGTATAAATTATGTTTCGTTAAGGCATATTTTCTAGAACAACATCTGGTCTTCAGTCAAAGACAGCAGAAGATGGAGAAAACATCCCTTCCTTTCAAACTTCTCTCCAGTGTGGGTAATCACCCTCATAGTAAAAAAAAAAAAAAAAAAATTGAATCTTATTTCCAGTTTGAATTCACTGGTCTTCAGTTTCCAGTCACTGGCTCTTTTTTGTGTTTCCTCTACTAGATTAAAGAGCCTGTGGGCATGTCTACACATGCATTTACTTCAGCCTAGATTTACTGTGCAGTAAGCTACTATGGAGTAAGGGTTTTTGGGAAGGTGTCTACACATGCAAGATTAGGGAGCAGATTTGCTCCCAGTTCCCTGCAGCCCTGCAAGGGACCCCTACTGCGAGTGGGAGGAGCTTGAGGCTCCCCCTGGGTGATAGCCCAGGGGCTGGCAGGGAGCACTGGGTCAGTAGACAGCTGTTTTTTGGCCCCAGGGGCCTGTCTGCTGCTGGAGTGAGGAAAATGTCTTCTTGGACCAGCAGCAGGGAACTCCTGGCCCTGGCTCCATGATCGGAGGCCATGGGGCTTGGAAAGAGCTGCAGGAGAGGGACAGGTGCCATTCCCCTGCTATGATCTGCTGGTGGGGCAGCTAGTAGCTAGCTTGCTCCTAGCTGCCCCACTGGCTGATTGGGGCAGGGGGCTGGGACCTACCCCAGGCAGGGGCTGAGAGCTTCCCCTGACTGGGCAGGGGCAGGGGCAGGGGCAGGAGCAGGGGCTGAGAGCGTCCTCTGACTGGGACAGTTCCCGGCCAGTCCCAGGTTACATGGGGAAGTCTGTATGTGCAGCCTGGAGCTGGCTGGGGACTGCCCAAAACAGGAGAGTCCTCAGCCACCTTCAGGCTGTATGTGCTTCCCTGCGCAGCCTGGGGCTATCTGGATTAACTTGGGAACTGTCCCCATGCAGGGAACTCCCAACTCCTGCTCTGCAATTGCAATTCCATTCATGGAGTGGGGGCTTGGAACAAGCTCCCAGACTGTTCCCTGCATCAGCTCCACAACCGCAGAGTGGGGGCTGGGAACAAGCTCCCAGCCCTGGCTCCATAATTGCAGAATGGGGGCTGGAAGCTCCCTGCTGACTGCACAGGGGGACATTGTCCCCACCCAGGCACATAAGACAGGGGCTGGGGAGCTTGTTCCCTGCCCAGCTCTGAGCATGGAGCTGGTGGGGAAACAAGCTCTCCAGCCCCCGCCAGCAGGCAGCTCCCAGTGCTAGCTCCAGGACCACTGGGCTACTGCTTGGAGATGCTTATCTCCCAACCTGAGGTCTGTGGTCATGGGCCTTGGGCTGGGAGACCCTTGTCTCCCAGCTGCAGCTCCGTGATTGTGGGGCCGATGCTGGGAGAACCTTATCTCCAAGTGCCAGCTCTATGGAGTTGGTGCGGGAAGCTAAATATCTCCCAGCACTGGCCCCGTGGTCACAGAGCTGCCACTGGGAAATAAGGGTCTCTCAGCCCCTACTCCCCAATCACAGTCCTGGAGCATGGGGCTTAGAGCTCCCTGCTGCTGGGGAGAGGGGATATAATCCCTGCCCAGGGTCCTGTGGCAGAGCCTGCCCTGGCAGCAGGCTACTCTTGGGGGCAGGGAGCTATCTCTGGCCCCCGGTGGACGGCTGACCAGGAGCAGATTTCACTCCCAGTCAGGTGTCTGCATAAGCGCTATGGTGCTGATACTAATGCCGAGTGAACTTGCTACTTGCATTTGCAGGTAGCAAATTTACTTAGTATTAGGGACGTTTAATGTGAAGTAAGCATGTGCCTGTGTAGATGCACATGCTTACTGTGCAGTAAATTATACTAATGTGAAGTTAAGCATGTCATGTAGATGCACTCCCTGAGTACCAATTATTTTCTCTCTGTGCAGGTACTTTATAGGTTGTAATCAAATCACTGCTTAGTCTTCTTTTTGTTAAATTAGACAGATTTAATTCCTTACATCTTTTACTACAAGGGTTTTCTATGGCCTTTCAGCCATTTTTCATTAATCTTTTCTGTGCTTTTTCCAATTTTTTAGGATTCTTTTGAAAATGCTGACACCAGACAAATAGGTAATATTTCAGCATTAGTCATCAATTCTGTATACAGAGAGAAAATCTACCCATAATTCCTGCTTAATACACTAGTCGGTGACATTAGCTCTTTTTGTCATGGTTGCACACCAGGGCTAGGGACAAAAATTACACACAAACTGGTATAAACAATCAGAAACTATTTCAAATCTGTAACACCACAGAAGTTTAGTGTACATAAACCCCTTTCAAAGTGGCTGAAACTGGTTTAAGATAACTCTGGATGGATGTAGTATCAGACTTAACTGATTTAGGTTAAGTTCTTTTATTGAACTTCTGTCCCAGATCCGCCTCCAGATTCAAGTTAACTTACAGTCCCCCCAGCATCCCAGGATGCTTTGCACCTTCCCTGCAAACCCTCCCTTGCAGGGTGGGTGGGAATAGGCTTGGCCCAAGCTGTCTGCTCCAGTGCCCTCTGGCTTCTGGACTGGGACACTGCAGGAATATGACTACATTTCCAGGATCAAAAGTGAATGTCTGCTCACTTGTTTATCACTTCAGTCTGCACAGCTTAGATTAACCTGGGAAGATTAAATCAATTCAGACTCAGGCTTTTTGACTGTCTGTACTTAGCTTAGGAGCTTGTGCTGAGCTGCTTGTCATCTGTGCTTGTGGACATATGACACAGTTATTTGGAATCATTTACCCAAGATTATTCTCCATAGTAAATTTATTTCATAGCAAGGAGTGGAAAATGACCAACTCTCTCCAGCTAGCTGTCTGCAGTAGATACTACTATGGGCACTACCAGGCAGAGGGCAGTCTGTTTGCACTCTAAGCAAATGACTAGTCCGGAATGAAATTGAATAGTGAGTAGACACACAACTAGTACATTATGTAATTTGCACCAGCATAGAGCTACTCTTCCCTTTTCAAGAGGTAAGAGTGAGTTGTACTGGTGTAAAGCTGTATGCCGTGTGTAGTTTGTATGCCATGTGGAATTTGTGCTCTACTCAAATTACTCTGAGTAAATGTACTACATGTCCCTACCCTATGACCTTAAATCCTTTTCAGAACTGCTGCTGTCCTTGATTCAGACCCTTATTCTGGAACTATGGCCTGTAGTCTATGCTCATAAATATGTATTAAAACACACTTTGTTTGAATAGATTCAGATCAATTCAAACAAACTAGATAATTACTTTCCATGATATACAGAATTATTCTACAAATAAAATCCTGATTTCCTGTCCATTTCTGTGTTTGACAGATAGAGATTAGATGTACTTAATTCCCCATAAGTCATGCTGGGACTATATAATTTTTTCTGGTTTGAGGAGGTTTCTGGCTCTTACAGGTTTTCTTAGGCTTCACAGTATGGTCTTAGAGAGCCTCCTGCCTCTGCATGATCTCTAGTCCTTTCTGCTCGCTAAGCAAGGGGCTTGAATAATTGAATTTGTTTCTTAGACTCAGATTCAATTGCACTTTCTTACATATAGGATGCTGGCCTGTCATTTGATGTGTGGCTGAGGTGAGATGATTCTTTAGAGAATTCATATGCATGTACATATGAGAAACATTTATTTAACAAACAGGTTCCAGTTGTGGCAATCATGGCAACGGGAGGTGGGGCCAGAGCAATGACATCCCTGTATGGCCAACTCTCAGGTCTCAAGAAGTTAAATCTCCTTGACTGTATAACATATATCAGTGGCACTTCTGGTTCAACTTGGTGAGTTTGTCATGGGAATGGGGTGGGGAAAAAAAGTATTCATTTGTATTAGTTTTGTGTCAGGGTAAACATACAGGAGATGTAGTTTATATTGCCTTCTCCAGAACTACAACTTTGGCTGTGTGATAGCAGAGAAATATTTTAAGAGAAAATTTGACAGAGGTAGCTTTCCACATGTTCATTGTGAGTTCCTCACAAGCACAAGGGGAAGTATGGGAGCAAGCATACAGGTATTTGTTAAATATGCAGCAAATGGGAGGTGAAGGCTGACATCATGGACTGAAGAGAAGCAGATGCTGACATCTTCATTGGAGGTAAGAGAAAGGGTATGCAGTAGGAGAAGGTTAGGCACCTTCTTAAAAAGTCTTAAAAATGAAAACAAGTTGCTTATACTTGATGCCTTAGAAAAAAAAAGAGAGTTCTTGTAGAACAACGCAAAGTGGGCACGATGTGATCAACAGCATTCTGAATAAATACGAGGTGAAATTGCATGTGTTGTGTCCAGAGGAAGAGTTTGCAGTATGTGAGATGAAAGCCTGACTGAAAGTTTTAGCTGTGTTGAAGGACAGGAAGGGCTGTACCATAGACCTGTTGTATTATGCAGAAGGAATCTGCAAGCTTACCCATCATTTGGGTGTGAGGAACTACAGAAAAAATCACGTTAAAGAGGAAATTTAGGTTTAGAGGCCAGAGTGACAAGGAGGATGATGATATTTTCTAGGGTGATCAAAGAAGGAGGAAAGGATTTGGGGGAGGGGGGGAATTAAGAGTTTTGTTTTAGCAATGTTAAGATTGAAATTACTGCTGGACATTCACAAGTATGTCCAGGAGATGAACTGAGGTTTTAATTAATCTTTAACCCTGTGAGTCAAGTTTCTAGGGTTTTTCAGTTAGTGGTCCAAGTTTGTGTGCTGCCAGTGAAGGTCTTGGCAGACTCTTGAAAGTACCAATTGAAATATCTTTGTCAGGATCCCCTTCATTCACTTCCTGTTCTTCTGACATGACCACCTTCTGGTTGTTGCTGGTTCTCAGCTGAAGATGGGGAGCAGGGATGAAACACTCAGCGAAGGAAATTGGTGAAATGGAGTCACTATATTCTCCTAAATCAATCCTTCATTAATGCTGTATTGCTTTAGGACAATGTCAAGCTTGTATGAAGATGCCAATTGGTCACAGAAGGATCTGGAGAGGCCAATCAATGAGGCCCAGAAGCACATGACCAAGAGCAAAACAAACACTTTTTCTGTGGAGCATGTGGTGCATTATCAAAGACAGCTGAGCCAGAGGGCCAAAGAAGGCTTCTCTATATCTTTTAATGATCTGTGGGCAGTTGCTCTTGAATATATCTTGCATGGTAAGGTATGTACCCTGGAGGAACACTTTCCATTGGCAGTAATATTACTTGGAAGAACTGATTATGGTCAAAGCCAGGGCCTAGTATCCCACTGGGTTTTCTTGGTTAAGGCCCAACTATTTCTACAGCCAGTGGCATGCAAGGGAGTCATGTGGATAGAACATTTGGCTGCTTTTGACACCTAGTCCAAATAACCTGAGTATTGAATTCCAGCTGGGTTGACTAGGTGGCCTGTGCCTTGAATGCCAAAGCAGACCCCTTAACTGCTTTGCTACTCTGCTCCCTTCTAACTTCAGGGATGTATTTAAATTGTTCTTTTAACATCCCAAATCTGGAAAGTCCAAGAAATTTCATGCTGTCTCCTACCACGTTCTATAATCAAGCTCTTATTAATGCTTACACAATCACAGCTAGAAGCCTGTGTTGTTGTATGATGGGGCGGGAGAAGTATTTCCATAAAAGCATATCAATTGCTTTAACTCTCTACAGTTTTGTGTATGTTTTCAGTTCACCATTGTGCAATTTTTACTCCTTTTAGGTAAATGACTTTAAACTCTCAGATCAGCAACGAGCTGTGAGTCAAGGGCAAAATCCTCTGCCTCTCTACCTAGCTCTCAATGTCAAAGAGAACCACATGTCTACTGCTAACTTTAAAGGTAGTTGTTCTAAGTACGTCATTGTGTTTTACATTGATAAGAGAATTGAGTGCCTGTTGAATGAGGCAAGAATGACTGCTTTGTGGCAACTCTTTTTTTCATGAGATATAGAAATGCTTTATGCTTTTAATGGTGTTATAACATACTTTTGTGAAAAGAAATAAACTGCAAATAGTGTTGGTGCCAGGCTACTGTGCCTGGTGCTAGTCAAGCCTCATTTATTATCCTGTATGCAGTTCCCCACATGTTAAAAAATATGCTGAGAAAAGTCAGAACTGGTCCAAAATCAGGCAACAAAAATAATAAAGGACTTGAGCGGTGCACGTGGTGTCGGACAGTGCATGCAGCTCAAAACCAGAGCCTGGCTGGCCAGAGCCACGCTGGCTGCTGGCCAGGCTCTGAGTAGCAGGATTGCTGCTGCAGCACCAGGGGGCCCCCAAGACCCCAGGTAAGGCTGTTGAGGCCTACTTTTAAGCAGGGGAACCCACTGCTCATTAGTTCTGGGTTGGCTCCAACCATCCTCCTTTCAGATACCAGATTGGTGCGAGTCCAGCAGAGGGCAAAGCAAATGGTTAGCAGGCTGGGGCATATGACTCATGAGTAGGAATCTACTGAATTTGAGGAGATGGCTGGCTGATTTTGCGGCAGATCTCAGGTTCAGCTGCCATTTTTACAGGCTGAGCATGCCCCCCTATGCCTCTGAGGGATCCTGGCAGTCCTGTCTCTCCCTGGAGATTACCAGATGGCCTGAAACTGTGGCTTAGTTACCTTGATTAAGCCCAGGGAAGCCATTAAACCCTGCATTATTAAGCCTGGATTAATGGTTTCCCTGGTTTTAATCAGGGCAATTAAGCCACAGTATCGGGCCATCCCCAAGCAGGGATGCTGCACCAGGGTCTCAGGCTGGCTGTGGCAGGCAGCTGGGAGGTTGCACTGGGGTCTGGGGCCCTGGTCTGGCTTCTTTCCTGTGTGCGCCTGTTGCTGGCAACAAGCTGGGCCAGGGCTCTGCAGACGCCAGCGCAGCCTCCCAGCTGCCTGCTAGAGCCCTCGTGCAGCTGCTTGCGCAGCATTCCCATTTCTTGCTGTGAGCAGCTGCACCCCACCCCGCCATCCCCCTTGCCTCCCCACTCGCCTCTCTCCCTGTCCTCCCTCTGTCCTTCCCTCTCTCCCCCATTCTGCCCATGCTCTAAGACTGCTGGAGAGCTTCCCACCTGTTTTTTTAGAGTGAGCCTGCTGTTTTTTGTGGAGCCTGTTGTTTTTTTGTAGAGCCCACCTGAATTCATGATTTCTGCAAAAATCTCACAATTGCAAATTCGGTAGGTCCCTATTTATGAGGAAAGGCTGAGGGACCCGGGCTTGTTTAGTTTGGGGAAGGGAAGACTGAGGGGGGATTTAATAGAAGCCTTTAACTACGTGAAGGGGGGTTGAAAAGAGGATGGTGCTAGACTGTTCTCAGTGGTGGCAGATGACAGAACAAGGAGCAACGGTCTCAGGTTGCAGTAGGGGAAGTTGAGGTTAGATATCAGGAAAAACTTTCTCACTAGGAGGGTAGTAAAGCTCTGGAACAGGCTACCAGAGAAGTTGTGGAATCCATCCTTGGGGGTTTTTAAGACCTGGCTAGACAAAGCGTTGGCTAGGATGATCGAGGTGGAGATGGTCCTGCTTTGAGCAGGGGGTTGAACTAGAATAGATGATTGCCCGAGGGCCCTTCCAACCCTCATTTTCTGTAATTCTGTGATAACTGCCAGACCCACGGTTTCCTTGTGCCAGAGGAACACCTTGCGCTGTGTTAACTCTTCTAGTAGGGAATTCAACCCATATGTCATTCTTGAGATCTAGCTACCAGTAGCATAGCTAAGGAGGGATGACAGGCACCAGCCCTGCCTGGTTAGTTGCAGGTGGGAGCACAAAAACAACAGCTGCTGCACTGTCACCCCACCTGCTGATGCCATTGCCAGCAACCCAGACACTGATGCTGCCCTGCACCACTGTTGTCTGGGATGCTGAAGTGCCCAGGTACACCTCTGTGAGCTACATTTCAAAAACTATTTTCTACATGCAGTCAGTCCAAAGGGAATTAAATGCAAATTAAATGCATTTATTTTCATGTTCTCTGAAGCTAGTGGCTAAATCCAGCCCACAGAGCTGTACCATCTGGCTCATGGGTCCAGAAATTTGGCAGCCTGGTGAGCAAGGGCAGCATTCATTGCTGCAGCTTCTGGAGCCATGGTAATTAATGCTGCTGCTGCTTATTCTGCTACCAAAATTTCTGACCCATGGGGTGCCCCACGGCCTGGATTTGGGGCACGGGGCAGTGTCATTTGGTCCAAGAGACCAGAAATTTAGTGGTGGAGGAGCTTAAATTGAGGCTTCCATTGACAAATTCCAGCCCTGCAGGCCAGATGACACAGCTTGATGCTCCATGCCGCTTCTCCAGCCCATGAGGCCAGATGTATTGGGGGTCTTACTTGCTTCCATAATCAGATGAAAAGGCATCTTTTTTCTTGTGGTTACAGAATGGTGTGAATTTTCCCCTTTTGAGGTCGGATTCCCAAAATATGGTGCTTTCATTCGCTCAGAAGATTTTGGAAGTGAATTTTTCATGGGGCACTTGATGAAGAAGAATCCAGAGTCCCGGATTTGTTATCTAGAAGGTGATTGTGCTAATACAACATGATTTTACCTGAATATCCTAAGAAAATAAAAGAAACCTAGATGCTCATTGGCAATAATAATGGTGTTGCCAGCCAGCCAGGCTATATGTTAATAGGCTGTTCCATAGAACAAAATTTGTAGGAAACCCAGGACAAAAGCTATGTGAAATGATTAGCAAATTCTTTCCTGTTAAATAGGTAATCAATCATTTATAGTAGATCAGATAAAGAAACAGGATTAGCTACCAGCATTTTAATTGAGCTGAGAACAGAACTTTACAAACAAGTTTTGGACTAAGGAAAAGAATTGTGAATTCATGAGAGAAACTCTGGGTTTAACCTATTTCTATTTTTATTAAATTCTTTCTGAATTGAAAGGACAAATATGAAATCATGCAAGTTTAAGCTGTACTATTTTATCTGTTTTTGATCATCTCTCAAAAGCTGTACTTTTTAGAGAAAGCTCTGAATTCTAAGGCACCATATTTTTTTCACAAACTCGGTGCACCAAATAAGATGCAACTTGTTTTTGGAAAGGCAGAATAAAGAAGAAAAGATTTTTCCAGTGTTATAGTTTAACCCAAAGCTGAAACCCATGCTCATGGATGGATCTAGGATTTTGAAAATGGTGGCATGGTTCATCATCTCATTTTGAAAACTGCTGAAAATGATTTTGAAAATGGTGTTGTGGTGCATCATCCCATAATATATTTTGCTTCATTTAAAAAGAAACTAGAAGCTTTGCTGATATGCTAGGGGCCCAGGACTATATTACTCAGTTTAAGCTCCAAACAAAAATAATTGTAGCTGAGTATGGGGGAGTGACTGCTAGCTCTAGGGTGGAACAGGCATCTTGTGTGGAGGGACCCCCCCGCCTGGCCACAGACAGACTGCTCCATGTACAAGCACATGTGGGTTCCTCAGACACCCCACCATGGCCTCACAGTGACCCTTGCTGTCATTCATGCATTACTCTTGCCACCTCAATACCCCCTGGCTCTACTTTGTCCTTTGTTACCCCATATATCTCACCCCACTGTGTGCTAAACCCACCAGACACCCCACGCCATGCTGTGTCCTTCCTTACCTCCTCACTGCATCCATAAATACATTGTCCTGATGAATCCACAGCACTGTGCACAGTCCTGTCCTCATTACAACCTAGCCCCCTGACCCCTTACCACCTCCTTATACACATCTGAGCCCTCCCCTGCCCCTCTGAGCATTCATGCCCCTTGCTGAAATCTCTTACATCTCCCCAATAACTTGTTACCAACAACCCCATCATACCTGGGATGGCCATATTATGGTTAAGGGAATCCAGGATGGGGGTGGGGGAGCTGCCACTGTGTGTACGTGCACGCACACATGCACGCACACCTCCCTACCTGACCCTGTCACTCCCAGGAGCCCTGATGGTGGGGTGGGATGGGACAGCATGGAGGCCCATGCCTGGGTTCCATCCCCTGTGTACAGATGCTGGACCCAGCTGGGAGTGGCCCTTCCTCCTGGTACCGGCAGCCATCTGGGGCCACCACTTGCAGCCTGGGCCTCGGTAGCAGCTGCAGTGGCAGGACACAAGGCTGCCAGCAGTAGGTGGCCATCCTGGCTCACCCTGTGCAGCTACACGAGCCCCAGCCCCCTCCCCTGGCCTGTTGTGCCCTAGCTGATCCCCACCCCATGCAGGTGGAGCGATGCCAGCCTAGCTCACCCCATGCCTCCAGCTGCTCATCAGCAAGAGCTGGGTCTTGCACTATAGGTGGCAGCAACCTCTGCCTCTGCCTGCAGCGGCCAAATCTGGGCCTTTTGCTTCAGTTTACACCAACCAGTGGGGATGCTGGGATGACCTATGAAATCTGGGGCTGTCCTGGCCAATCCAGGATATATGGTCACCCATAGCCCCAAACCCCATCTGCCCCTCATACCTCCCCACCCAAATAATGCCCCAGGCTCTCCTCACCCTGCACAGTCCACAGGCTCCCTCCCCTTCAACAACCCTTTGGTTCCCGTGACTCCCAATCCAGACCCACATGGCCTCCAGAAGACTCTTTCCCTCAAAGTCCTTCCCAAACAGTTCCCCCTGCCTCTGACCATTGGACAGCTGGGGGCAGGCCTGTAACTGCCCCTCCACACTCTCTCCCTTCCTCATAGCATGCCCATAGCTGGCTTCATTTCCCTTTCTCAACATACAGAAACAAACAGTTGAGTTTAGGGGAGGACTTGCTTCAGCCACTGGCAGCACCACCACCAATCCCTCTCATCCACCAACCAGGTTGCACTGCTGGTTCTGCCTGCCACAGCCTCAAGCATCTGCTGCAGTGAATAACCCAGGAAAAAGTCATTGCAGTAATTTAGTGTATTTCACAGCATATAGGTTGACATGGTGTATAGGTCAACACCATTTTTCTGATCCAGAAAGTTAGGAATGTCATAGATCTGGTATAAAAGTCAACCTAACTTTTTGGATCAGAAATATAGGGTTGACTTATACTGGCCTCTCTGCACCCTCACTGTGGGCTGGGCCCCAGGGGGTAGACGCATGCTGCAGCACTGCTTGCAGGGGATGGGGCTGGGTTTGGTGCTTGGCTGGCAAGGACCAGGCAGTGCCACTCACAGGAGATGGGGCTGCACCAGCGAAGTGCTGAGCCCATCCCCATCCCCTGCGAATGGTGCTGGGCTAGACTGGGGTGGCCCCATCCCATGAGTGCACTATAGAGATGTTGCTCAGCCAGGCACTGAGCCTTGCCCCATCTCCTGCGAGCAGTGCTGCTTGGGCCATGCCAGATGAGCGCTAAGTCTGGTGTTGCTTGCAGGGGATAAGGCTGGGCTTGGTGCTCGGCTGGCACAGCCCAGGCAGTGCTGCTTGCAGGGGATGGGGCCAGGTTCAGTGCCCAGCTGAGTGGTGTCTCCATAGTAACAGCAATGCCTGCAGGCCACACTTGGGTTGGGCCTGGGCCCCATAGCCTCCAGTGACAGGGGTGCTGTCGGTAGATGAAGAAGGCCGGGTTGGGGCCAGACTGGGGTTCGGCTGGGGCTGGATCCAGGCTGGGGCAGCACTGGGGTGGGGGTCAAAAGTAATGATACAGTATATAAGAAGAGGTTGAATTTTAAGAGTTAAAAATTGGGGTTCAAAACTCAACTTATACGCTGTGAAATACAGTACCTCTTTGCCTCACCTTTACAACTCCTTCCTGTTTCAGACCCTCACCACTTTATAGCTTAGACTGCCTTCAGCCCTGCCCTTCTCCTTCCTGACTGATTTGTTGTGGGTTTGAGCCCCTAGGAACAAATCCATCCATTACAGGTTCCTAAGTAGCAGCTCACATTTACTGGGCATACTGGTAGGGGTGAACAGAGAAACATTCCCAGGTGAAGATAACAAGAGAATTGTAGAAGAAAGGCTACCTTGATTAGAGGAAGATCAAGGCCATTGACACTTACAGAGTAAAGAGATTAGCTGCAATCAAGTAGATAACAATGAGACATGAAGTCAATTGACTCCCTCAGCTCCATCTGAATAGAAATGCATCTTTCACTGCCTGGCAATTTGTCTTATCCTTCCATGGAGCAGGAGTCAAAGGGTGAACGCAACTGCACTGCTAACTGCCCCAGTGCCCCAAATCCACCATGCCTGATCTGTAGCTGAAGAGTAGTGTATTTACAATTTGGAAAAGAGCTAAAAACAGTCTGTAAAGTTGTGAAATAGGAAGAGAGAGACCAGGGTTAGCTAAAACACAGAAACATTTCCCAAAGAAGGGTTAATATGATTAGTGTAACATCAAGACCATTAAAAAGGAGAGACTATTGTTACCACCTGTGGAGTGGAGAACAATGAACCAAGTCAATTGACTCAGCTGCCTGAATTCAAGAGCCACTGCTGGTGGAAACAGAAATCAAAGTTGGAGCATGAGTCAAAATGGTGTGCTTTTATTTTGAGCAGAAAGTCTGGTTCCCCACTTGAAGCACGTGTCCCAATTTTGAGTGGCTGTTTTTTTGCAAAAAAGGTATGTGTGGTACATGAGTAAATATGGTCCAATGGCTTTGAGAAGAAAAATTCTTCAGTATGATTTTAGTCCTGATGAAGGGGCATTGGAAGGTAAATAGAAATAGGCCCCTGCCACATGTTACATATATTAGTCAATTACCTGGTTAATTGTGCAATAAATTTAGATGGGCACATGTGTAAAGTTAGACTGGCCAGCTTTAACTTCAACGTGTGGCAGGATTCTCAAGTAAATCGCGTTTAATGAATATTTTTGTCTCTTACCTTATATTATGTAAATTAGGAAATATGTACATGCAATGAAAGAAGTTCAAGATATATTTATGGAGCCTGCTAAATATGGAGCAGCATAAAAAATAGTAAATGAATCTGCAACCCACATGGCAGGCTCAGAGTTTCTGTTCATACTCGTACTCTGCCTGTAACTTTGGCACCTGACCATGGACTCTTCTTTACATATCTGGCTCTGTCTTGGAAACCAACTCAGAGTTCCCAGATCTGCATCTTGCTTATATATCAATAGGCAATTATACATTAGCTTATGTCTAATTTGCAAGTGCAACTTGTGCAGACTAAAAGATTAAATCTTGCATGAACTGCCACTGATATTTCTTTGATGTGTTTGGTCTTGCAGGCTTATGGAGTAATATCTTTGCTGTGAATCTACTTGATATCTGGAATGCCTTTGGTAGTTCAGATGAATTTTGGCAGCAACATGTCCAAGCCAAAATAAAAAATATTGGTAAGTTTCCTATAGTAACTTCTTTCTGTTATTTGTCAGTCCACATTTCAAATAAGGAAAAGGGATGAAAGGAATTAAATCTCCAAGATGTTTTGAGGTTACTGAAAGCTATCCACATCATGCAAGGACCTTCTCTGAAACAAAGAGTGATATGCCCAGATGAGAGGGTCAAAGTTTCAACACATATACACAGAGGCAGCTAAAATAATTCATAATAAAAGATGACTCAAAAGAGAAAAAAAGAACATTTGAAAATTTTCTGGAAACTAGGTGGTAGGGGAATAAAGAGAAAAGTGTCTGGGAGGTCAGGGGCTGGGTAGAGGCAGCAGCTAGGGCAGGAAGGGTGTTTGATAGGAACTGAGGGGAAGTGTTACCTACCAAGATTAGGTTGAGGCTAAAAACAAATGGGGAGTAGAACAGTATCTAGGGTGGAGTAGGTAGGCTACAGAAAATGGGTATACAAGCACTAAAATAGATTTTCTAACAGTAATAGAAACTGAACCCAAGAAGTCCTGAGTCTGTACATACTTTTTTTGTCAGAAAACTATTGCAAAATGCGCTGGCAGTGTGTGTACCTCATCTTCCTTCTAGTAACTTGTCCACACAGAGTATAATACCAGATACTCTATTAATTCATGTAGCAGAAGTCTGTGCTGTGGTTCTAAATATCAGAATGCTGATGATGCTGACTGAAAGGGGGGTCAGTGCAGTTCAACATGATGGAATTTTTTTTTTTTAGTGATTCTTTTTTAAAAATAGACAATTACATTAAAATGAAACTATGTTCAAAGACTATTGAGCACTCAAAAGTTGAGATCAAGTACTCAAAGTTAAGAAATACTAGATTTAAGGTTGTGGCTAGACATTCAAAAAGCCCGAGTCTGAATTGATTCAGTCTTTGCAGGTTAGTCTAACCTACAGAGTTTGAACCAATTTGCAAGTGGATATACATTCACTTCTGATTGAGGAAATGTAGGCACTTCTGATCCAGGAAATGCCTGCAGTGGCTTAGGCTAGAAGCTGGGGGTGCTAGAGTGAGCCCTCCTTTCCCTTTCATGGGGCTGAACTGAGTGGGGGGGATTGGCCAGGCTTCAGCAGGACACTAGGATTAGGGTGGTGTTTAAACCCCCAGCCTAGCCCACACTGTCCCTAGCCACGGTGTGCCTGGAGGGGGAGGGGGAAGCAGCCTTCAACAGGCTTTTCCCCCACTCACTGCTCAAGGGGCAGGTGTGTTGCCAGACACTGGCCCCTAGGTAGTACTCTGAGGCAAAGGGCAGAGAGTGGGCATGGAGAAAGGACTGCCTGTGTGGATTACATTTGGCTGTTGACACTGAGCTTTTCAGTTTCCCTCTCCCAGCTTCTTCTTACTCTCTGCAGCTGACAGGTGCTGCATTCATTGCAAACCAGGTCATTTCTCACACCTCTCAGCAAGCCAGCAGCCAGCATGGAGCTCATCAGAACACAAAGCTTATCAGCCCATCAAGAAAACAAACCCTCTCTCATTAGTTTAAGCTATTCTTACACAACTTTTTGGAAAGTATTTTTAAGGAAGGACGGAGGGACATTACCAGCTGACCTGTTGATTAGCTCCAAAAAGCCTTAAGTGAACACTGTTCTGTCTGCTTTTGTTGCAGTGAAATTGGAGACACACACACATAGGACATTTAACAAGGATGTGGTAAAGCTTGAGAGAGTCCAGAGAAGGGGAACCCATATGATCAGAGACTTGCTCAGCAAGCCATACAAGGATAGGCTGAGGGACCTGGGACTCTTCAACCTGAAAAAGAGAAGGCTGAGAGGAGACTTGGTAGCAGCTTACCACGTCATCAAGAGAGTACTTCAAAGGCTCAGTGAACAACTGTTCACCAGGGCACCCTTAAAACTAGGCGTGATGGCCACAGACTCCTGAAAGATTGTTTTAGGCTCAACATTAGGAAAAACTTCTTCACAGTTAGGGTGTTCAGCCTGTGAAATAAGCTCTCTCCAGAGGTGGTGCAGTCACCTACCCAGGAAATTTTCAAAAGGAGACTGGACAGTCACCTTGCTGGCGTCACCTGACCCCAGTTGTCTTTCTTGCCTGGTGCAGGGGGCTGGACCCAATGATCTTCTGAGGTATCGTCCAGCCTTACAATTGTTGAGTCTATGAATAGACACCTCTCAGCATTAGCTAGTATGGGGGTGACCAGATGCTGGCTAGGGCCTGGGCTGCTGGGATCTATGCTGTGGGAGAGGGGAGGGAGGACGGGGATCCCTGCTTAAGCAGTGATGGGGCAAGGGGCACGGGGAAGCCAGGAAGACACTGCTGTGCCTGCAGTCTCCACCTCCTTCTCAGCCAGCCAGAGCTCTGGCTAGGGAGGACAGGAGTGGGGCCAACTCTGCTTTCTGGAGCAGAGATCCCAGCCCAGCCCAGCCCAGCCCAGGGCTGAAAAGCATGCTGGGGGACTCTGATTTAACTTGAACCAGGAAGGGGTCTGAGACAGAAGTTCCATAACCCAGTTTGACCCAAATCAGTTAAGTCTGATACTACATTCAGCCAGGTTTATCTTAAACCAGTTGTGGCCATTTTGAAACTGGTTTATGTGCACTGAACTTCTGTTCTGTTACAGGTTTAAACCAATTTCTGATCAGTTAAACCAGCTTATGTGTAACTTCTGTCCCTAGTCTGCCTGCCTAATTTTCATTCAGTCCTTTTGTGTGTATGCTTTACAATACAGATTTTAATTACATGGGCATGTACTGGTTTTCTGTAGGATCTTGCCTCATTCAGGACAGAAGATGCACCCAGTCAGGTTATAAATAAAGATGTATAGTGAAAGGAGGTAGCTATCTTGTTTACTAGAATGTCTGCCTTGTTTGTTCCAGGAATCAAATGCTGTCCTGGGGAACTGGGGTGTCTCCCTACCTCTGCCATAGGGTTGTTAGGCACTCATTTTGTATTTCTCATTTTCCAGGTAACTTTGGGACCAGATTTACAGACATGTAGGAGATTCTCTGATAAAGCTAAAGTTAATGAGAGCTGGGCTTTGAAAATCTTTAGTGCACCAAAATGTTGAATTTTCTAAAATGTCAGGTTTTAAGCATGTCAGATTGATCTTCTTCAGTGGATGTTTTAGATCAGGTCTGTCCATCTTCCAAATGGCAGAGGCTGCACATCAGTGAGGGCTGCATACTGTAAGGGCTGCACTAGGTGGAGCTATGGATTGCTGGGCTGTGTGCTGTGCAGTAGGGCTGTGCAAAACAACAATGTTCTGCTTCAACACCCATTTCAACGGAACAGTGTTTTGTTTTGAGTTTTGTTTAGTTTTGAAAGCACTGTTCTGTTCCGTTTCATCGAAACGATTTAGGTTTCAATGCTGTTTTGATGTTTTGCCCATAAGCTATAATGGGGAAACACAAAACAGCCTATAACTTTTTTATTTCTTGCCTGATTGTGATGAAACTTGCAAGGGTGGTAGCCTTTTCTGAGGGCACAAAGCCTACCAGGTTTCAAGGAGATGGGTGCAGGGGTTTCTAGGAAACCACCTTTGGCTGCTGACAAGCAGGAGCTGAGGAACAGGCGCAGCGTCCTGTCATCTGGCAGGCAGATGAGGGGGCCCAGCACCCCTGGAAGGAGTCCAGCAGAGCCCCCGCAGCCCTCCTGGGGGTGTGGGCGGGCCCCTGATCTGCCTGCTGGATGACAGGAGGCTGGTGCTGCCACTGGCCCTAGGTGGCAGAACCAATCTTCTCAGCACTGAGTGCGGGCTGCGCCCAACGCTGTCCCAGGTGGCAGGAGGAGCCTCCTGTGATCCAGCAGGCAGATCAAGGGCCTGCCCGCACCCCCAGGAGGAATCTGGCAGAGCCCTGCAGCCCTCCTGAAGGTGTGGGGCCCCGATCTGCCTGCTGGATCACAGGAGGCTGCTCCTGCTTCCTGGCTCCTGCGTGTCACCACCCTGCTGGCCAGATCACAGGATGCTGCTCTTGCCACTTGGGACCCAGTGCTGGGGAACTGAGCCCGGCTGGGGGAAGTGCCTCCTTCAGCCTGGCTGAGTTCCCAGCTGCTGGCAGCACTAGGGAACTCAGCCGGGCTGCAGGAGGGGCTTCCTTTAGCTCGGCTGAGTTCCCCAGCGCTGGGATCACCTTGGCACTCTCCCCTGTCTCCCACCACCTGGCTGACTCCTTCAAAATTCAAACCATTTCAAAACATTTGAAATGTTTTGACTAGCCTCAGTTCATTTCAAGGTTGTTTCAAAGCCCTTCGTTTCATTTTGATTTCACTGTTTCGAGCTCAAAATGAGTTGAAACAACCTCGAAATGATACAGCCGTCGAAGCTTTGCACAGCCCTACTGTGCAGACATCCCTGCTATAGCACCACACATCTGTACTCCCTTCCAGGCTGTGTACCCACAAGGCCCTGGACTCACCTTCCATTCCCTGCACTCTCTGTTGCATTGCCCTGCCTCTGAGGGAGGGGCAGGGAATTGCAGCCAAAGAAGGGGGGTGGGGGAGGGAGCCCAGAGCCCTGTGGACGGAGAAGCCCAAAGCCCCCTGTTTTGCTATTGCTTCTGGAGTGATAGGAAGAGCAGCAGCTAAGCAGGAGCCTGGGGATTCACAATTTAACCCCTTGCGGGCTATATGCAGCCCACAAGCTGCCAATTGGACAGACCTTCTTTAGATCTAAATCATTCTTTGCCTCAAATCCTTCTCTGCAAAAAAAGAATATATTTGTGACCTAATTTCAGAGTAATTTTGGAATGTAAATGAATCAGCCTTTATCAGTTGCTCAAATAATATGGAGAAACTATCGTAGAAATCCATCTGAGGATGATTATGTCTAGATCAGGGTTTAGCTCTGAGCTGCAGGGACATATTTCAAATGTTGAGGATAAAACGAACTGCTGAATACTTGTTCATTCAGGGAGCACTACGCCTCTTGTGCACTGAGTAAGGTTGGGGTTGTGTGGAAAAATAACATGCAACCATATAATTAAAGATGGAATCGTTTGATCATGTATAGATGATTGCACAGCTAATAGCAATTCTGGCATTTCCAAAATGTGTCCTTGGTTTCACAATTCTTATGATCTTTTAATGCTTTTAAATGACACTTATCATATAATTCTATTGAAGTGGCAAAAGCAGTCCTTGATGGGTTTTCTGCCTACTACCACTTCTTTTCCTTCTGCAGAGGAAGAGCATGCTCTGTCTAAGAGCTCCTCCTACCTGGGGACATCATGGATAAATCCCACAGGAATGCTCTCTAAGATCATTAAGGATATTCTAACTGATCGTCCCCTACACCATCATGTCCATAACTTCCTAAGAGGTCTCCAGTTGCACAAGGACTACTATCAACAGAGCCCATTTTCTATCTGGAAAGGTAGTCCCAACCAATCGGCATCCTCACACTGGGTTGCTATATTACAGACTTTTCAAGCATTGCCTTCTCAAGAAAGGCAACTGAAGAGGTTTCCAAGAAAATTTTAAATGTCTTGTCTACTCTTCTTCCTCTTTACCTTTTTTTTTATGACACTAATCATTTTAGGGATCTTTCTGCTGCCAGTGTATTCTGGTGTTCTGGAGCCAGTTTTGCTTTCTCCATAACCATCCAGCCTTTGGTGACACTTGGGGAAGAAGAAAACAGTTTTATCTGTGTTTATGTCCTTTTCTCAAAGCAGTTGCTTTCTCCAAGATGTTCCTTTTTCTTGAAGATGCCAGCAATCTCTGGTTTTACAAAGATCGCTTTTAAATGCAAAGAAAATGTTATTACTCAGATGTGCTCAAACTTATAGTGCAGTGGATTGGATAACTGATGTGAGGTCTTTCCCTGGGCTGGATCAGACCCCATGCACCAGGATTAGACCTTGTGCCACCTCTGCTTCTCCCTATGCCACCTCCTTTAGCCCCTCACCACAGGATCAGGCCCAATGCCACCTCCCTGGGGCTCTGCACCTCTGGGGCTATGCCACCCACACCATCTCTGGGGCTCTGCACCACCTGCACAGCCTATTTGGAGCTCCTTGCTGCCTTCTTCAGTTCTGTACTGCCCATACCACCTTCCACAGCTCTGCACTGCTTCTTTCAGCTCCGTAGTGCCCATGCCACTTTCCTGATGCTCCACGCTGCATACCTGGGGCCCCACACTGCCTCTGCTTGGCCCTGTGCTACAGTATCAGGCCTTGCACCACTTCCAGCCAAGCCCTGGGTGTCCAGCTGGGGCCCTGGGCCACGCCTGGATGCTGATCCAGCATGCTATCCAATCCATGGGCTGCCCACAGATCTGGAAATTTAGCTGTGACTGGGTGATAACTACTGCCACTGCCAAATCTTTGGACATGTTGGGATCTCTGAGGGCTGGATGGCACGGCTCCATGGGCTGGATCTGGCCTGGAGGCTGGAGGTTAAGCACCCCTGCTATTACTGTTTCCTTCCTAGCTGGCATAAATAGTCACTTTTGTCTCTTCACATTTTAAAATGGTATCTGAGGCATGTCTGAACAAACCTTCACTGAGCAAGTTTTGGCTTTTTGGTAGGGGTTGGAGAATTAAAAAAAATGTATATAAACATCAGATATTTAATACAGGCAGTCCTCGACTTACAACGTTTTGAATTACAACATTTCACACTTACAATGTTTATAAATTGACACCCTGTTTCAACTTTATGACATCAGTTTCAACTTTACAATGCTTGATCAGATGCGACGTCACACCAGCGAACAAGTTTGCTGCGTCGCTTATCTCCCTGGAGAACTTCTGTCCAAACTTCCTTGGACACTTTCTTTAAGAAA